CCTCTTTTTTTTTTTTTTTAAAGTTTTTTTTAACTACAGTGTGAAAATGGTTCTCAACTATCAGATTGGCAAAAATGCAGAGGCTGACAATATACTGCATTGGCCAGGCTATGGGGAATTGGGGTGGAAATGCAAATGGCCCAGACCTGGTGGAGGGGAATTAAACACATACATATTTGTCCTTTGACCCCACAATCACACTTCTATAAATTTATCTATAATATACACCTCCAACAATCTGAAAACATATATGACAAGGTTATTCACTTCAGGATTATTTGTAATTGAGAAAACTGAGAACTGTCTAAATATTCAAGCGTGGGAGATTGGTTAATATACTATGGTTATATACACACAATGGGACCCTATGCAGCTATACAAATGAATACGGAAATCTCAATCAACTGACATGGAGTAATTTCCAGGAGATATTAAATAAAAAAGCAAAGTGCAAATATATAGTACGCTACCTTTTTTGTAAGAAAGAAGGGAAAATAAAAAAACATGCATATATCTGCTTACTATTAAAAGAAGAAACACAGGAAGGAAAAAAGCAAAAAACAAAAAGTTGTTTTCTACAAAGGATGGGGTGGGGGAAATAGGGTGAAAGGGATATAGACAGAGTGGCATTTCTCTGAGTGAAACTTTTTGTTTAGTTTTGACTTTTGAAAACATTTAATATTTTACACATTCAAAACATTAAATTTTATTGGTTAAAAAAAAATCACCTACCTAGAACCAAATGAACCTTATTTACATTTTGAATGAATACAAAGCATACTGAAGGGAAGGAAAGAACTAATGTACTAAATTAGCTAAAATTATTTAATCTAAGTAAACTAAATAAATTAGTTTTGACTATGTAATCTCTATCTGGGATGTGGTAGGATATAATTGGGGAAGTACAAACACGTATGAAACTTATAAAGTAATTTTATTTATTATTGTAGCATGGGTAAAGCAATTCTGAAATTACTTTAGATTAATTCAAGACTGAGCAAATGAGGGGCACCTGGATGGCTCAGTCGGTTAGTGTCCGACTTCGGCTCAGGTCATGAGCTCACGGTTTGTGGGTTCAAACCGCATGTCAGGCTCTGTGCTGACAGCTCAGAACCTGGAGCCTCCTTCAGATTCTGTGTGTGTCTCT